TTCCCCCTCCAAAGTCCCATAAAGTAGATGTGAACCCCTAGTTTTTCAAATCTTATGATGTCTTACACAGTTCTGTTACTCTGCAGATGTAATGACGCTCTTTTCACAGGCTGATAATAGGACTGTCAATAAGGTAGAGAACCCCAGGGATGAACCCCTAGTTGTTTTTCAGATCTTATATTTACACACACACACACACACACACACACACACACACACACAGTGTGATTTTTCTGCAGAGATGATATCATTCACCAGGATTTGGGAACCTATGGTTCTCTAGGATTTCATGCAGGAGAATTTCCCAACCCTACTTGGAGATGAACCTGGGCATGGTTACATGCGCTGCACCACTGTGCTATGGTCCTGCAAGTAACTCCTGTATGAACTCCTGTATGAACAGGTACTATGAATATCCTCTAAATGAACCCTGCAGATCTTCTTTATTAAAATAGTAGGCAGCAATGAATGTGGGAGAATTAATATCTTTACAAATATTGGGAAGTAACTAAACCAAATAGAGAATTAAGAGGTGAAACATAAAACTGGTTGCTAAACAATTCTCAATTTACTCAGTGGTTGACTGAGTGGTGGTGGCGATGTCACAAGCAGACCACAGATGACACCTTCCTGCTACTGATAGAATACAGATGGGCTATCGCTGTGTGATGATCTACCATGTTGTGTCTCTGGTGTGATGGAGTTCCCTAAATGCTCTACCCTTCCAGTGGTGTAAGCATTAAAAACAAAAAGAGCACCTGCCAACCACATGATCTTTAAAGCACTTTCATAGTTCTGACCTTGCAGCTTTAAACATTTCAACCCATTCCTCCCTGTGTTACTATGATTTTCCTGAATGCCTGACCTCCATATAGTTACCATATTTTTTGCTCTATAAGACTCACTTTTTCCCTCCTAAAAAGTAAAGGGAAATGTGTGTGCGCATTATGGAGCGAATGCAGGCTGCGCAGCTATCACAGAAGCCAGAACAGCAAGAGGGATTGCTGCTTTCACTGCACAGCGATCCCTCTTGCTATTCTGGCTTCTGAGATTCAGAATATTTTCCTTCTTGTTTTCCTCCTCCAAAAACTAGGTGCGTCTTGTGGTCTGGTGCGTCTTATAGAATGAAAAATACGGTATGTACTGTATACCTCAGGAGAATGTACACTGGCAAGCTTCCTTATGCACTTCTTTGCCTCCTTTACTTCCTAATCAACTTTTGAGGTGCACAAGTTTTTTTTAATAGTGTGAGCTGATAAATGTTTTCAGTGGTCAGGCATTGAGGGAAGGAGCTGCTGAAAACTTTCATATGTACAACAGAGACTCTTCAGCTGCACAGGTGAGGAGTCCTTGATCTCTGAGGCGATTAATTTCAGTGGAGTAACTTGAGATAAAGTTCAGAGAATGAAGCTGTCGTTTGACTTCTATTTCTTTTCTTTTCTTTTTTTACAGTTTGAGGCTCTGATTGTCCATTTGCCCCTAAAGCACGATGTAGGGGCTTAATGGAACATGGCAGGCCCTCCTTCCCCACATGCCATCTTTCTCACACGTTGGTCATGCAGTAAAAGGGAGTGAGAGGTGCCAGGTTTCAGTTTTGCTGGGAAAACACAATTCACTTCCTGGAAACTGAAGAGTGCTCGGGGGCAGACAATAGAGGTGCCTGCCAGCTGTTTTTAGAATGTCCCATTGTTGGCTCCTTTGGAACACGATCTGGAGTGCAAACAGATGGCACAAGCCCATTTGATTAGAGAAAACAATCCAATTATTTGAAATTCATAATCAACAGAAATGTTTTGTATGCGGAAAACTAACGTTTATTAGTCAGGGACGCAAATTAGAATTGGTAATGGAGGAGAAGGGTTGCATCGCTGCTGTAGCATCCTTCACTTTGTTTTGGGAGGAAGGAACTTGCCCAGTTTAAAGGCTGAAATGGGCCAGCTCGACTGTGCAATTAAGCAGTCATTGCACAGCTGTTGTGCCACTAATCACAAGCCACCTAGGAACATTTTTGCCATGTGGCTTGCACATAAAGGTGAAATTCATCCAGCGTAGCTCAGTGTTTCCTTAAATTGAAAAGAAAAGATTGTGACCTGATGAAATAACAGCTGTTTCCACACCTTTATAGTCTTAAAGTTGCATGTAATATTGTCTTGGATCATAATTTCAGCACTGAATTTTATAAATCTCCCCCCAGCCCCAATCCTTAAAGCTGGATCAGATTGTTATGACTATAATTTGGCACTGATGTTCAGAGATGAGACAAATGATGCGCCATTATCATCATATAGTTCCTCATTAATTGACTCGTAGACGAGACCAAGCTACAGCCTCTGACTTTTGGCCATTCACTGCCCTGCCACGTTTCGTGCGTAACTCTGGCATTGCAAGACTTTGGTTTTTTTGGGGAACCCTCTTATTTGGCCAGTGTGGCTCCAGAGTAGCTTGAAGACACAGTGAACAAATGACCTTGCACAATTTTGCACTATACTTATCTTTGACAAGGACAAAGATTACTTCTAAAACCCTGTACTGATCCAGTATCTGAGCTGCCGGGTGTATTATTTGGTAAAGCAATTAAGCCTTAGTGATAAAATGTAAATGTCTAGTCACTGAAATGTCTAGTTACTGCAACTTTTTACCCTCAGATTGTCCCTCCCCAGCTGGCTTCCTCTAGGGTTTCTACACAAGTTTTTATCACTAGATAGGTGCAATATATGGGGTGATATTCAACTAGTTTTTACTCAGAGTAGCCCACTGAATTTAATAAACATGATGAAATTAGGCCCATTCATTTCAAAGGGCTTACTCCAAGCAAAACTTGAATATCACCCATGAAATGGGAGTTGCAGTCCTGAAAGGCACCAGATTGGGGGATACTGCTTTAGGCAGTCAATGCATAGTTGAAAAGTTGAAACATTTCAGGGCTCTGTAAGTAATTAGAAACCACGGGTTGTTTTGGATGGGCCATGTCATTACAGAAAGATTGAACAGAACAGAATAATAATAGACTTCCTTTTTCCTGGGACTTTTAAAGTCAGAAATATTGTCAGTTGATTAATTAGCTGGGCTCGTGGTCTAAGACATCTTGCAGAGCTTGAGGAAACAATGACAGCAAGAAGTCATCAGGGACTGTCAATAATGTGTGACTTGCAGTAACAGAATTACTGCAAGTTCTGGTTACATAAAGAAATTGAGGGAAAGGGATTGGCTGGCCAGTTTCAGCAGGGGCCTGGAAGTAATTTTTGATCATTGTGAAGCCATTCTCCGTGTGTGTTAATATACGTTAAAGCTATTACAAAGTTATTTAGATGCTTCCACTTCAGCCCTTGGAGGATTTTGTCCTGAAATTGGTATAAGCTGCACAAACCATAATGACAGAGGGGAGGTATATACATTTGCACACATTAGATGCAATTGCTCCGACACAGCAAAATTTTAGGAAAATGTTATTAAACTTATGAAACCTATTTCAGGGTGTCAATACCACAGATCCTGTGGTAGTATTATTAAGTTATCTGAAACTTCATGTTGAAAGAATAATACCCTTGAGTTAATTTGCAGTCATTTAGCAGGTGCAATATTGTAGCGCAATATTGTAGCAAGAGAAAATGGCCCTCCAATTGATCATTAGATGAACAAGGTTTGGGACATGGTCGTTTTGGTAAATAAACCTTGGAACTTAGCTTGTGCTTCAGGCATGACAAATCCCCATGTTGATGTATTTAAGTCTGGAAGGTTGAACTTTATGGACAGATTACCAGAATGGCACAAATCGGTTTCTTTTTGAAAAAGCTAGAGGATTTCTCAATCACTACTTGCAACCTTCAGAGTGTGATTTAAGTAGGCATTGTATTTTCACATAATTACATTGTAGGAAAAGAGTAAGATTAAAATATTAAGGAGGGTTCCCTAAGAATTGAAATTATTCTTTTTATAATTATCTTTTCTTAAATGTATGGAGACACAACTGAACTGCATGTAATCATTCTCTTCATCCACAACCATGAGGAGCAAACATTTTTCAAGGGAGATATTTAAATGTCTTTGATATTTTCCCTTGACATGCCAGACAAAAATAAAAGCCAGAAGCTTCTTAGCTTACCTCTACTTAGAGCACATTATTCTACATATTAATAGCATGCTCATTCTCCAACCACTGGTACTTACGTAACAAAATGACATCGTCCATGCCCAAGAAAGGCACCAGCAAGCTCAAGGGAACCTGAAGGTTTGCAGAAGTGCAAAAACATGTTTAGAATGGAGGGGGGGGGGAACCATCAATGGAGCAACCTCAACCCACCCCAATCCAGGCCAGTGAGAACGCACCATGCTCAGTAGTTGTAGAATAACTGATGGTTAGTGGGGAAGAAGGAAAAATAAGGAGAGAGAGAGAGAGGAAATGGCATGGAATAGTCTGGAAAATGGCATGAGTGGCTGGAACCCTTAACAGTAGTACTAGACAGTGCAACATTTTGTTGATAACCCTACTTATTCTCTCCATTTCTGATGTTCAGGCATGAGTACCAATCCTCATGTAGCTACCAGTGGTGCCACACATGCACAGTTTTAGTGGAAACCCAAAGTTTGCAGAAATAACCAAAGTCTGTTTGGGGATAGAATCCCAAATAGCTGAATGAGTAGGATGTGTGCTCAGTGGCTGTTGGGGGGGAAAAAACAGAAAAACAGCTGGGAGAGGGAATGGAATGGAGGAGAGCATGGCTAACTCAACCAGGGAACAGACGCACTCCACACTGCAACATTTTCTTGTGAGTCTTGCTTGTTCTCTCTGTTTCCAGTGTTCAGGTGTGAGCACCATTACTTATGAAGTCAAAACAGCACCATCCAAGCACAAGGGGGAGGTACCAGCAGCTGGATGAAATCCTAAGTTTTGCAGATGAGTTAGACAGGGAAGGTGAACCTGTAGCCCTCCAGATGTTGCTGGACTCCAACTCCCACCATCCCTGGCCATTTGTCATGTTGTCTGGGCCAATGGAACTCTGGGATACCTCAGTTGGTGGAGCATGAGACTCTTAATCTTAGGGTCATGGGTTCAAGCCCCACGTTGGGCAAAAGATTCCTGCATTTCAGGGGTTTGGACTAGATCAGGGGTCAGCAAACTAAGGCCTGGGGGCTGGATGCGGCTGCCCAGGCTCTTAAATCTGGCTCATGGACCCTGCTGCCAGCTTGGTCAGTCCCTGCACGCTGCAGATGCCTCGCCACCTTGGGACTGACTTCTGTGACACTGGAACCGCTTCTGGGCAGGCGGCGATGCTGGCGTGGCTTCGGATTGGCTGCAGGAAGTTCCTGCAGCCAATCTAAAGCCTCACCGCCTGCGGCTGAGGTAAACCTGGCACAGCCATGGATGGAGACGCCAGCGGGTGAGTGGCGGGTCTGGGCGCACCATGGGCATCATGACGGGCTTGTAACGGGGCTTCAGCTGGAGCTCAATAAGTATGGAACATGCTCAGTACTCCTGGAATTCTAAGTAACCATGTTGACAATGAAAACTGGGCTGAAAGATGAATGGAGTGGAGTATTGTAGAAGTGAGTGACCTAAACAATCAATACAACCCCTCTGCATGGCAACATTTTTCTCCCAGGACCCACTTGTCTTTTTTTATTCTTAAAACTCACGTCACTTGCTTGCTTCCAGTTTCCTACTCTCTCTGGGATCTGGTATGCTGCATTTAAAAAGGCTGCTCCATAGCTGACATTCTGGCTGTTGAAAAGGAAAGAACTATTTGGCAATATTAATAAGATTCTTGTGCAATTTGATGGAAATTATAGCCTTGCTGTCCCTTGAAGAATCATCTCTTGTCACTGCCTTTAAAGAGCAAAGGCACTGTGATATTTCTTCTTGACTGATTGTTTCAGCTTCAAGTCGTGGATAAATCTGGTATACCATTAGTTTAATTAACATACAGAAGAGCCTAGCAATCAAATCTTGAACGGAGCTAGATGAATGGACCATGAGCTTATTCTGCAGTCCAAATGGATGGACACACACACACACACACACACACACACACACACACACATTTTCCTTCACAATTTGGATTCTGTATGATTCACTCATTGAAATAAAGTATTCTGTAGGAAGTCAGAGGCTGACACAGCATGGCAGAACCCTGATTGGCTCTCCTGACTTTAAAGCAATGTGGGAGACACCAATTAAGTTAAGAGCAGAGGGCTTAACCTTGTCTTCCCACTGATCTCCCTGGTCTTAATCCCCGCCCCATGTTGATATTAGCTTCATTTGGGGGCAAATACAGATTTTGTAATCCACCCTAACTTCTCTGGGAAGGGGGAAACAAAAATGTATGTTGGAGAAATGGTAGAGAAGGAAAGGGTTGAACATCTCCAAGAATTGTGGTTCGAGGACCCGATCCCCGCATAGTGGAATGAAAACACATGGACACGTGATATAAGGTTAATGGGCAAGAAAAGCGACGAAGAGTGAGGGCCGCGTGGCTGGCGCAGCAGCGATTTACGCTGCCGTCCCCGCCCCTTCGGAGGCACCTGGTTGGGTGCCTGCCCGTGGGCGTGGTGCGCCAGCCAGGTGAGAGGAGGCAAAGGGGCTAACGCCCCCTGCTTGAGGTGGGAACCGGCTCCCGCCCACAACCGCTCCCCTCTTTTGCAGGAGGAGAGTCTTTACTACTCCCATCAAAATGGCAGGAATCATCACCCCACTTTAAAGTAAAAAAGAACATTGCTGGGAGGCTGTTTCCATTCTTGACATTTACAGTGGAATTGCCACATTTTGTTCACTCACTTTTTATAGAGCATCTGCATGATCCTGTTCTCTCTTTTTTTCCCTCTGTTCAACTTCTATTCCCCTGCAACTCAGAAAATTTGATGTTCAAAAAAATAGTTGCACCATTTCCTCAGGTGTAGATGGCCCATCACACAGCTTTCCAGCAGGTTGTTTGGTCAGTTACGGCCTGTATATATTCTTCTATTCCTTTTCTATAGTCTCTTCTAGGAATAAACTCTTATCGCTTTAATTCCTACTTTTACAAATTGCCTTTCTTCCCCCCACCCCCACCAAGTCTTTCTCTGAATCATGATCTGGAGTGCAGCAAGAGTTGAAACAAGTGCTTAACCTGTTCTCCCTACACCATGTACAGTGGTACCTTGGGTTACATACGCTTCAGGTTACATATGCTTCAGGTTACAGACTCCGCTAACCCAGAAATAGTGCTTTAGGTTAAGTACTTTGCTTCAGGATAAGAACAGAAATTGTGCTCCGGCAGCGCGGCGGCAGCAGGAAGCCCCATTAGCTAAAGTGGTGCTTCAGATTAAGAACAGTTTCAGGTTAAGAACGGCCCTCCGAAACGAATTAAGTACTTAACCAGAGGTACCACTGTATAGCCAATGTGGTGCTATCCAGATGTGATGGATTCCCAACTCCCATCCCCATTCTGGCCAATTGTAGTCCAAAACATGTGCAGGGCACCATCTTGACTACCTCTGTTCTACACCATTGTCTCCCCCACCTAACACTGAAGAAAGGGGACTGCCCATCTAGAATCAAAGTCTGGAAGCAGATTTTTCTATTCTACTTACAGTTTAAAGCTCAACAGTGTTGCTAAGTAGTCCATGTCTTGAAGAATCCACAATCACAGATCTCCCATCATGTCACACCTCTTTTTGCCCTCTGTGCTTTCAATTTCCATTCCAGGGTAGGCTGCAGTCCAGTGGTTAGGTGAACATTTTCTAAAGTCTGTGCAAACTTGTTGGGAGGATAGAGGACTGAAATTTGGGATTTGGTGGTAGATTTGATGGTGACACCTCTGTTACTATCTCTTTGTGTTGTACTATGTAAGTCCTCTTTGGGCTAGCTAGCATATTTTATGTCCTGTGTAGAGCAGCTTTAAACAGCACCATGCAAGTAGCAGGTCACCAGATGAAGGAATCTACTTCTCCAAGAGGCAGTGGTGGCCACCCACTTGGATGGCTTTAAAAGAATATTAGACAAATTCCTGGAGGAGAGGGCTATCAGTGGCCTCTCACCCTGATGGCTATGTTCTGTCTCCACTGTATGATCTTGAATATTGGTTTCTGAAGAATGCAAGAGGATGGAGTGCTGTTGCACTCAGGTCCTGCTCACAGGTTTCCCAGAGGCATCTGGTTGGCCACTGTGAGAACAGGATGCTGGACTAGATAGATCACTGACCTGATCCAGCAGGCTTTTCTTATCTGCTTGTAATAAGGATATACGGAGCCTGCTTGGAGCAGTTAATCTCACAGGGAAAAACGTGTTCTGCTTTAGGGAGGTCTGCCTCAGATGATTTACTGAGTAAATTTACTTCTCTCACTCTGCAGATATCCAGTTATTTATACTCCTTTCCTATCTTGCACCAAGAGATCAGGTTGGGCTACAATATATCCTTCTATTATCTTCTCAATAACGGTAAAATAAATTAGCCAAGGTCATGAGATGCTGACTTTGCTGAGGCCATCCAGTGAGCTTCCTGGCAGGGCAGAGATCAGAACATCAACATCTTAGATACAACTCATTCACTTGCTTTGCACTTCACTTCAAACCATAGTGAAACTATTTTCAACTCATCCATCAGCACACTTTGTGTTCACTTATGAACCGTAGTTAAACTGAACTATACTTTACAAAGTGTGCTGGTGCATGCATTGAAAATTGTGTCCGCTTCCCCATCTCCTGCTGAAGCACTACTGGGAGCTAAGCTATGTTTTGACTTAGCATTATGTCCAGATGCAGGACTCAGGGTTTGTTTCTTTCCAAGCGAGCCACAAGCTGTGATCAAGATTTGTTCTTGGCTTGCCAATTACATTTTGCTTGGGGGAAACAAACCATGAGCTTGGCTTCAAATGTAGTGCTAAGCCAAGCTATAGCTTAGGTCATAGCCATGTGGCGGCAGCAGGAGCAGGGGAGCACCAAAGCCCCCACGATTTTAGTTTAAATTGAGGTTCAAATGAGGTCTTTCTCTACTGTGCTGCACTGACTCCTCCCCTCAAATAATCCAACATCTTTCTTGTTTCAGTACCTACATATTACACCTTCTCCATGTCCCTCCCTGTGTAAATTGTAGCTACCGTATGTTGAATGAATCCAAAATGTTGGGCAAATTGTAGCTATGTTAAATGAAACTAAAATGTTGGGCTGGATCTACATTGGCCTGATATTAGATATAACATTCTAAAACGTCACAGGGCATATGTGTAAATTAAAAGTGTTTATTACCTTGTTTCCTCCATCAAGATGCTGTCTCCCTCCTATTGCGCCCTCTGGTGTCACACTTTAATAACGCATTAAAGGTAAAGGTAAAGGGACCCCTGTCCATTAGGTCCAGTCGCGGACGACTCTGGGGTTTCAGCGCTCATCTCGCTTTACTGGCCGAGTACAGCTTCCGGGTCATGTGGCCAGCATGACTAAGCTGCTTCTGGCGAACCAGAGCAGCGCACGGAAATGCTGTTTACCTTCCTGCTGGAGTGGTACCTATTTATCTACTTGCACTTGATGTGCTTTCGAACTGCTAGGTTGGCAGGAGCCAGGACTGAGCAACGGGAGCTCACCCCGTCATGGGGATTTGAACCGCTGACCTTTTGATCGGCAAGCCCTAGGCTCTGTGGTTTAGACCACAGCGCCACCCGCGTCCCTTTTAATAACACATTATGAACGCTAAAAGTAGGATGTAATGTGTCCATCTACATTATGAATACCATTCCTTAACCCTTCCTTAACGTTATAAGCCATGAGTGTAGATCTGCCCTTGGTCATAGTTTCACTCTTGTACATAACGGAAATGTAGCTGCTATTTTGTTTTTTCCAGAGCACTTTAATAGAGAATGTGAACATAGAGCCTGACTACAAACCATTGAAGTCTGGACCAATGTCCAAGAGAGCAGGTCAGCAGAAACACTTCTGTTGTACTTACAGATCTAAAGGTAATTGAAACATTTACAGCACACTCCTATGCACATTTACCTGGGAACAGTGATTTGGGTTTTTTTTTGCTTTTTGCTTTAGAAGAACAAGGTGCCAATATTCACGATGAAGTTGCTACGCTAACTGTCACACTTTTAACATTTG